AAATGAAACGCTAGCAGCTCCTGAAAGCAGGCAGTAACAGTGAAATGTTTATTTTGGACCTGCCGCCCTGCGGTGTCTTGGCTGACCCAAGCGCCTTCGTGCCTTACAGATGGCGCTGCGCCCAGTTGCTCCCAGACACTGCTGAGCCCCCTACCATTGGACGGCATGGGGCTGTGTTGTGCACTGCGAGGCCCCTGTTGCCCCTGCTTCAGGCTGGAGTTCACCAGGAGCAGCCTGATCAGCCCCAGCACTAAGGTGCTGCGCTTGGAATGGGGAACTCACATATGTGTAAATGTAGGGATATGCGTGCACTTAATTAGAGCTTCAGCTTTTGCCCCTCTGCACTTGCTCCATGGACTTTTAATTGGGACCAGGCACTGCTTGGGGAACACACTGGATGGACTGCACAGCAGAGCTCTTCCACATTCTAAAGGAAAGCTTGTTGCACAGCTTCCAGCACCCAAATTCATTCTGCAGCAGAGAAATGTCTCAAATCTGAAACTCTCTTGGGACAGGAGAAAACATTCCCTCCCTGCCTTTATCCTGCCAAGGTCCCTTCAAGCCAGAGCCCAGTAGGTCACACTCCTGCCTATGGCCCAGCTATCCCCATGGGTACCACCCCCCATGGCTCCATCCCTTGCCCTCTGCAAGCCAGCTGTCTTTGCAGCCAGAAGATTATTTTTAGGAATTTCTCCAGTGTGCGGCTTAGGGCGAGGTGGGGGAGAGGGGGAGGGGAGCCTGGTGTTGGGGGCTCCTCTTGCCCCCCCCACTCCGAATAAAATGCTGCCAGCTGGCAGGGCTTGGGGCTGCTGGCTGCTAACAGAGCTCTTGCTGTTTGGCCCCTGCTGATGCTTCAGGTTACAGCCGGGAGCCAGAGACTTCTCCTTCCGCGGGATGGGGCAGGGGAGGGTACGGGCGAGGGGCCGGGCGGAAATCGCAGCTCTGGAGGGGGGAGTTTCCCAGGGTCGGTGCAGAGAGCCGCCGCACATCGAAGCTGCCGCGATGCCGAGGTTTGGGCCCCCAAGCACTGGGTCTTGCTAGTGGCTGCCGGCCCACAAAGGAACGAGGTGCAAGGGGTGGTCCCTGGGTGTGGGGTTTGGGTTTGGGCATCGGCAAGGCTGTGGGTGGTGGGGCATACATGGGTCTGGGGGGCTTTGTAGTGAGTTGGCTGGGGATGGGAATTCGGGATGAGCGCGGAGCAGAACCCTTTCTCCTGGCCGTGCTGGATTTAACCCTGTGTTTGGGCTGCTGTGTTTGGGGTGCGTAATGCACATTTGGGCTGTGCTGAGTCTAAGCTTACATTTGGGCTGAGCAGTGGTCGCTGGACCACACCGTTCTTCCAGGAGAAGCCTGCATCAGGTTTTACTGCTTTGTTCAGGGTTACTCCCACAGTGGGTGCCGTGCTGAGTGCAGGACTGTGTATGTGTATGCAAAGAGGTGAAAAGGGAAACAACACTGAGGACACTGCACCTATAGTGTGCAGTGTCCTCAGTGAGGCATGAGATGAGCAGGAGTCACTCCTTGGCCTTGAAAAGATGTTAGCAAGAAGGTACTGCAGGCTATGCTAGCAGTCTTGGTAGCTGCATACAGCCCTGGTGGCCCCTAACACAGCAGAGGACGAACCTCCCTTTGCACTGGCACTCAATGTTCAGATGCTTGCAGGCATGTTGCAGCGTGGTGGGTGCTTGCAGTGTGCTCTCCAGGTGCCCCAGGATTTTCCTCCTTACTCTCACACTTCAGTGAAAGAATGAATACAAATAAAAAGAGCTGAAAATGAGTGTATGGCAGTTGCTTCCCGAATGGTGAGATACAGAGGTGGAGTTCAAGATGCAGGATACAGCGCCTTGCAGCCATACGAGGCATTGCAGGAGGCAGAAGGGTTGATGTGTTTGCTGCAGTTTGTGCCACCTCCAATTTATGTTGTTGGGTACACAAACCACGAGCAGCTTTTCACTTACCTGGAGAGAAGATGGTGCCAGATGTGCAGGACTAGGATGCTGCCGGCTTTCTGGGTAGGGCACCAGCCCCATCACTGGTGAAGTCCACACTGCAGCTCCTCAGAACTTTGGCAGGGCAGCAGGACAAAGAGGGGGTTAGCAAGGCACTCCCTCCCAACCCTGAAGGAAGGCAAACTGAAGAGGGAAATTCCTGCTGCTTCCAAGTGCCGCCGCCCTTGGCCACCGGACTGGTTTCCCACAGCGGGCACTGGCAGGGAGCAGGGCTGGGCAGAGGGGCAGGGATGCTCCAGCACAGGCGCAAGAGCACAGCACTATGGCATGGCCATGGCACCACTGTCACACCTTTTCCACTGCAGATCGGCATTCTGTAGGTAGTTGACTCCAGCAGAGCAGAGCTGCCAAATGCTGTTGGTTTTATTTTCCTCCATTTCAGCAGTGCTGCCCCAGACCACCCTGGGGGAGGCTTGCAGGCAGTGGGGGTTTGAGTGCTCAGTTGGGATCACCCTGTGTTCCTGTGGCACCCTCTGCATGTGTCCCCCCTGGCTCTGCATGTGTCTCTTTCTCTTTGAAGATCAACATCAAATGAAACAAAGTTAAAAAAAAAATAATAACCACTGTCATTCAAAGTGCCAAGTGCAATGGAAAGTTTGCGTTCCCCAGGAATCTGTGCCCAGCTCTGCCAGGCCACCATGGGTCATAGCACAGTGTGTCTGTGCCGAGGGGATTGTCACATCCCGCATGTGCATCAGAGCTGTGTGACTGATTCGGGGGCAGGATGTCTTGGCTCGCAGTGCGTAGATCTCAGAGGGATGCTACTGGAAGGAGCTCACAGCAGACAGTAGGACAGCAGCGTGGTGTGGGATGGAGGATGGTACCTTGCATTTCTAGCTGGCGCCTGAGTGTAAAAAAAGGCATCTTGTGCAGCAGGAGCAGCATCCAGCATTGTGAGGCTGAGCCACCACCCCTGACCCGGCCACAGCGGTCACCATGCACTGACAGGGAGCAGCCCGCAGGGAGCAAGAAATGCTCTGATTGTTCCCTCTGGTTTGGCTTCAGGCCACTGCGCCGGGACTCCCTGTCCCCAGCTGTGTCACTGCTGGTGCAGACAGAGGGATGCTTTCTCTGCCTGTGTGGGGTCCATGAGATAGCAGCTTGGCTGAGGGAAGCAGCCTACTGTACAGATGTATGGGCATCCGTTTGCATGCGTTTTAACTTCAGTGCAGGATTTCGATAGCAGAAAACCAGGACGTCATTTCTCGACAGATTACACTGAGCAGCTGGAGACCTTCCACACCTCACACCAGCCTGCAGGTCTTCCTCTTTTCTGCGGCTGCTGCCTGCTGTGGGACAGTTCTATGGATGCTGCTTCATTGTGTGGGGGTTTTTGCCCTTGGCCATTCAGTTGCAGAGCAGGGATTGCGCTGCATCTCATCTCTTTAGGATGTTCAGCTGTGGCCAGACTCTGGCAGTAGGCAGGAAGGTCACAAGGAACAGGACAATCAGGAGAAGAACTTGTTTTACTTTAATACATTTTGTGTTTGTCCACACTAGTGCACTCTCCCTTCTCCCTGATCCCTCCAGCACCATCCGTTAATTCTGGCCCATGTGGTGCTTGGAGTTATTTTGGGTTGCTGCTTTTAAAGTGTATTTAAAGTCTTTTTTCCATCACTGAAATATTTTACTTCTAGGCCTAGTATTCCCAGTCAGTATCAGTTACCAGCATAGTTTTGGCAGAGTGCTTTTAACTGATGTTTCTTGGGAACGTTTCTCCATGTGGTTTAGTAGGAAAAGCTTATGACAGTCTCATGAAGTTATTTATGTGTGGGCTTGCGTTGGAGGCTGCCTGGTGGGTGGAGGATGGGAAACAGCAGCTTCTTCAGGTGTCCGGAGCATCATGATGTGCCACAGGGACATCAAGAGTATGATGCAGGGTCACCATGGTATGATGGAGAGACATCATGGCGAATGTGATGTGGTGAATGTGATGGAGGACCACCACAGGGTGATTCAGGAGCACCATGTTGTGATGTAGGATTACCTTGGTGTGAGGCAGGAGAACTATGGTTCAATGCAAGAGCAATACACGCCTTTCCTTTTCATAAGACGAACCTAGAGGCCAGCTCCCCACCTCACTGGATATTAGCACATTAGCTCATTTATTTCATTTCTCATAACTCCAGTGTTATGTGGTTTGATGTGCAAAGATGAGTGCAGTTTTCTGGGCTCAAGGTGAGCAGCAGCATCTCCAGATTGCTGTACTGGAAACTGGCCTCCTGTTTGCAGAATGGACACAGTCAGCTGCTCTGTGGCACCTTTCCAGGGCTGGGATATTCCCCTCCAAGCTGTCAGCCTGGGTGACTCAGCAGGACACAGATTCACACTCATGGGGCTGCAGCTTGCACCTGCCCCTGTGCCTGGGGTTGGCAGAGAGTTTGCTGCAGCCCCTGTAGCAGTATTGGAGAGAGTGAACAACCCTGCCCGATAGTGACTGCCCCTTGTTATCGGACAGGCAGCAGGAGGCATTCCAGGGAAAAAATAATTCATCTGTTTCTATGCCTGTTCAGGCCAGGACTGTAATAGACAGGACAGTGCTGTCTGGAAGGGATGGAGTGCTGGATGGGGTGATGCTGGCTGGGATTCGTAGGACACTGTAGGCAGGAATAGACACGTTGGGGTAATGCTGACTGCAAAAGCCAGAGTGATACTGACTGCACTGTGGTGCAATCCCCTTTGATCCCTCCTTAGTCCTTTCCCTCTTCAGCTGCACCATCACAGTTCTACGGACCACCCTGGTTCACTCACAGATCTGGGAGACAGCCAAGGCTCTCAGCACAGGGCTGCAGCAGCAAAGAACCCTTGATCCATCCACTTCATGCAGCCCTGATCTCTTGATGGATGTTTGCCTATCACATTCTCATTCCAAGCATGGCGATTGCTTATGCTGGGTACAAATGTGAGAGTGGCACAGTCCGCAGCAGGACAGGGCAAAGCAATGGGACAGGGTACAGGGATGCAGTTGCTGACACTCTCTGCTTCCCCCAGATGCACAGTCACATCCGAGGCCTGGGCAGGGTGATGGTATTCCTCGCAGCAGCTTTGGCATCAGCCTCCCTCACGATCCCCGAGGGCTGGGGAGAGGAAGGTAAGCAAAACGGAGTTCCTGTGGCATGGGGACATTGGGATATCCTCAAAATGGGCACGGACCAAGCAGTGTGAGTGCCTGCCCTGCAGATGTCTTTCCTTCCCCAAATTCATCTGTAAAGAGTTGGGTTTCCTCTTCCACCACCCACCGCCCAGCCCCAGCCAGGACAATCCCTCCAGCTCCCCAGTGCAGCAGGACCCAGGGTGACCCCCTCTGTGTGCCCCTGCAGGTGTGCAGTACAGCCAGCTGGGGACGGACGTGACCCTGTCGTGCATCGGTGCCCGCACTGGGTAGGTGTCTTATGTGCACACTGTGGGATGGTTTAATGGATGAGCTCTAAAAAAGCAGGAGCAAAGCCAACGTCTCCGTCCCTAATTTTGCCCATCCTTTGGCTCTGCGTGCTGCAGCTCACAGGGTGTCCCAATCCCCTAACACCCTATCTCTCTCCCCTAAAGCTCAATGGTCCAATGGAGACGAGATGGGGCTGTGGCACTGCCAGAGGGCTCAGCCATCCATCAGGAAGCCCTGGTGCTGCCACGTGCCAGCCTGGCTGCTGCTGGGACTTACAGCTGCCACGACGAGGATGGCAGCCTCCTGCATACCGTTTCCCTGCAGCTGGGCCGTAAGTAGCATGTCCGTTGGTTGGGTGACATGGGGGTGTCACAGGGGGATGACACATGGGTTCCTATGTGCTGACTCTGTTGCAGGGTGGGAGACCCTTTGTGGGGACCCCGCACTGACAGTCTCCTCCCCCCGGGCTCCAGATCTGCCGGGGGTCCCCTTTGTGTCCTGCAGAGCATCTGATTACGAGAACTTCTCCTGCTCTTGGACCTCCAGTCTGGAGACCTTCCTCCCAACCAGATACATCACTACCTATAGGTGAGGGCTTTGGGTTGAGCCTTCCCAGGCTTAACCCTCACATCCTGCCTGCACTCTGACCTTCACCCTGGATTCATATCCAGTCTCACAACACAGCAGCCAAGGAGCCAGCTGTTTCCAGGAGCACAGCACTGAGCATGTAGTTGTTCAGAAAGGGGCCCCTGAGCAGCACTGGGGGCCAGCACAGGCAGGCTCCCTCTTTTGCAGTGCTGGAGGGGGTGGAGAAGAGAAGCAGGTTGTCTGCAAGCTGCCAAGTGCTTCAGTATGCTTCAAGATGAAAGGAGTTAGGGAAACAACGCTGCTTCTAATTATCACGGCAGGCCAAATTATGGGACTGCTTTGAAGTCAGCCAGATTCTATAAAAGCCTGCAGCAGGGCTCTGCTCCACAACATGCAGGCACAGTGGGGATGCAGGGCTCACCTCTGGGTGTGTAGGCACAGCATGGAGAGGGTGCTTGGAGCTGGAGCTGTGTGGAGCTGGCAGTGAGAGTGGTGGGGCTCAATGTTGATGCATACAGTGAGAGCAGAGCCAGCTGCTGGGGAATGGAAAATAACACTGCATCCCTGCAGGGCTGCTTTTGTTAGTCTGTGTGTGCTTGCCGCTGCTGCTTGGTGAAGTTATCCTGAGACCCCCAGTTCCCTGCTCGTGGGACTGGGCATAATGTTACTGCTTGTCCCTGTGCCACGGTGCCCAGTGAGCTGCAAGCTGGGAGTGGGGTGCGGCAGAGCATCTGTTGCAGAGACCTCTGTCCCTTCTCTGAGTCATGTTTGGGTTGGCTTCATGCTGTCCCCCATCCTCCTGCCCTCACCATTTGCTTCTCCTGTCTCCACTGCAGGAAGAAGTCACTGACAGGAGAAGAGAAGCGAAGGTAGGGCGCATTCCCACCTGACTCTCCATTCCAAATGCTCTGCCTATGTCCTCCTGGTCCTGGAGGCAAGGGCTGAGGGGTCCGTGAGGAAACATGAGGCTTGTGGGGGTTTTGGGGGTCATATGGGGGCTAATGGGAGCTGCCCAGACCCTGCTGAAGCTGTAAAAGAGTCTGCCTCCTCCATGGAGTTCCTGGCATGTTGGGGGAACATATCACCATCCCACCTCTTTGTCCTGCAGGAACAAGAGCGGGCACGTGGGGCCATGCCTGCAGGACCCAGCACGCACGGGCACCTGCACCGTTCACCGGTCAGAGTTCTGGAGTTCCTACCGGTTGAACATCACAGAGGTGAACCCACTGGGTTCCAGCTTCCGCCTTCTAGATGTCACCATGCAGGCCATCAGTGAGTGCCTGTCCCCCTGCCTGCCCACCCAGCTATCCACATGGCATAGCAGAAGGGTGACACCGTGTGATGGAGCATCCTTGTCCCCTCCCATGCAGTTAAGCCGGACCCTCCGGAGGGCTTGGTGGTGGAACCTGTCCCCCTCGCCCCTAGGAGGCTTCATGTCAGCTGGAAGTACCCCGCATCCTGGCCCAAGGAGCCCCACTTCCAGCTGCGGTTTCGCCTCCAGTACCGCCCCGTCATCCACCGCTCCTGGTCTGTGGTAAGCAGAGGCCAGGAGGGGTTTCACAGTGAGGTGGTGGCCTCCTGTAGGGGTGTCCATATGCCCAGTGTCTTCTGCTGCACAGGTGGAGACGGTGAACCTGTCTGAGGTGATCACAGATGCTTTTGCGGGGCTGGAGCATGTGGTGCAAGTGAGCGCGAAGGATTTCCTGGATGCGGGGAATTGGAGCGAATGGAGCGCAGAGGCACGGGCCACGCCAGTCAGAGGTCTGGGACTGGGGTCTTACTGACTGGCAGCATCCCTCCCATAGCCTCTCCAGCACTCGGCACCTCTGTAGCCCCTTTCCATCCTTTGGGTGTCACTGGGGCAAGCCCTAGCTCCTGGGGCCCCTTCAGGTTGCCCAGAAACTGGTTCCACAATAGGAAGCAGAAAAGCAGCTCCCAGACAATTGAAAATCATGGCAGGGTGTGATTTGGGAATTGCCCCTGCCATGGCCTTCAGGGCACCCTTGGTCTACCAGGACCCTGTGGCCCAGGGCATCTTCCTTACTCCTCCCTGCCATGCTGCTCATGATTTGGAGTGGACTAATTCCCAGCCCTTTTGCTTTAACAGACCCAGCCACCATGGTGAGTGAAGAAACCACTACAGATGTCAGCCTGGGAAGCCTGGCTGAGGAGCCTTCACAGGCACCCAACCCTGAGCCCATCAGTGAGTAGAGCTGGGGGCTGTGGGGTGGGAGCAGGCCCCAAAGCCTGGCTGCAGGGTCCTTTCTGAGTGCCAGAGGCTGTCACAGTTTTCTGTCCCAGACCGTAGTGACCCCCTGGAGAATACAACCATCCTGGTCTCCCTTGGGATCTTTGCCTTCTTTGTCCTGGCTGCCGTTCTCGTCATCGCCATACTCATCTGGTAGGTTGGATTTAGTCCTGACTGCTCAGCATTGGTGTCCCATGGTGCTCTGTGCTGTAGCCACAACACAACTGGGCACAGCTGGATAGGGGTGCACCGTGGAGGCACTCCAGCAGTGCCGGTGCCCAAGGTGGGTTGCTCAGGGTTCTCAACCACCGTTGTTCTGTCTACAGGCTCCGTGTGAGGAAGCACAGCAAGGATGAGACCAAACCCCACAACTTCCTGGTTGCTGCCACCCACTTGAAGGCTCTGCCAAGTGAGTGTTGGAGTAGAGGGGCATGAGGCCAACAGGTCAGGAAAAGGCTCAGGGCAGAACCTCTGATGCTCTGCCTTCTTTCTCCAAAGGAACCCAGATCCTGCCATGAGCCACAGCTGACCCTGCTCTGTGCATCCGCTCACCATGTACGGGACATAGCACCACTGTTGGCCCCAAGGGCTCCATGTCACGCAGCCTCGGGCATTGCCCCCAGCACCTCCAGGGTGCGGGATGGACCCTATGGACAGAAGCTGCGCTCCCAGGATCTCTGGGCTTCCTGTGCCTGTCAGGAGCGGCTGGACTCATGGGGATGGGGCACCGAGCCAGCCCCTCATCACCTCGTCATGCCGCCTCCATGGGGATCATGGGCACAGGCTCCTCCCAGGGGTGCTGGGCATCAGTGACCGCTGCGCCCCTCACCAGCTGTCAGCAGACAGAAGGGAACCCTCCTTCTGTAATCTCAATAAAGAGGGTAGTGTTTTCACTGCCCAGAAAGACCCCTTTGCACCAGATGCTGGGCAGGAGAAGCAGTGCCAGCTTGGTGACCCTCACTCTGTTCAGCTTTTGCTGAATGCCAGCAGAGGACAGAACCCTCTACAGAGCCCCCCGCTTGGTGTGTGCTGCCTGCCCCCCCTTACCTCACCTTGACACAGCCCCCATAATCGCTTCCATGTGTTGGCACCTCCTAGCCCCAGTACTCGACGCCAGTGGCGTCATGCCCAACCAGATCCATATGAGGCTGAGTGGAAATGCAGGCAGCAGGAGTGTGGGGAGCATGAGGAGGCTCTGGGGCTCTGCATTATACAGGATTTATCTCACTGTGGTCCCCATGTACCATAAGGCAAGGCTAGGAGATGGCTCTGGTATGAGCCTACCCCAGAGTTGTGCTGGGAGTGAAAGCTAGACAGTGCCAGAGAGGAGTCAGGGTTGTACCCTTTGCAGTGGCACCACCAGTCCTGTGCCTATCTCCTGCTGTGTGATAACCAGCTCAGCTCTGCCCTTTCTGCATGTCCTGGGGCTTGGCTTTGCAGATTCCAGGGTCTCTGGCATGCTATGGGAATGCTTCCATACTGGGATGAGAGCCTGCAACACCCAACCCAGCCATGCCTGATTTGCCACAGTCACCCTCATCCCCCTTGGTTCTCAGCATGCTATGCACAGCCCCTCCTGCTTAGAAAACCTCTCAGCACCACCAGATCCCATTTTAGCAGCACTGGGCTTCAGTTGTCCATAGGTTGCTGTTGAACACAAGCAACACCAATCCCATAAATGTGACTTCAGTGTCTGAAAACAGCTCAGCGTGTTGCATGCACCTGGCACTACTTTAGATGTCGACAGCTGTGCACCCCATATCCTGCCTTGCTTATAAACTTCAGAGTCCAGGCTTACGCCAAAAAAAAAAAATAAATTGCTGCTATCTGGGAGAAAGCAGAGACCTCCAGAATCTTGCTCATCTGAGCCTTGCCGTGCCCCCAGCAGCCTGTAGATGTGATACAGAGGCAGCCTGAGAGCCCAGTAAGCTGTCGGTGCTTGGGGTTCTGAAGGTACACAGAGCTGGGGGCTGCTTGCTCAGAGATTCAGCTGGCGCTGGATGTGGCTCTGGAGCAGAGAGATGCAAGGCTGGGGTGAATAGCAATCTGGGATAAAGGAGAGGGCTCTGGATGCCAAAGTCAACTTTGCCTCCAAGCTGCGGAGGAGAAAAACAGGAAAGGACCATGAGAGCAGTCCCAGTGCCGGCACCTCCCTGTCCCTCCGCTGGGCCAGGGCACTTCCTTTGGGGCTGGGGCTCCTTGGTGGCTCTGGCTCCAGCAGCACTGGCAGGAGGTACTGCCAAACTCGCCTCGCCCCGATGGGTCACGGGGTGGGTGGCTGCGTGCAGTGCCTGGCTGTCTCGGGTGGCACAGATCCTGCCAAATGTCTGGGCTGGCCCTCAAGCCCTAACTGCTCTCCACCATCTCTGCCAGGACCAGGATGTTCTTTGAGCGAGGGGAGGCTGTTGTCTGCAAAGCAGCTCTCACTTTGCTCTCCTGCTGCATTCTTCTCCTTTAAGAGGCAGAAGCAGCCCCAGGAAGATCCTAGAAAACACAGAGGCATATGCATATTCTGGGGCATGGGAGAAAGGAAGGAATAGACAGGTTGATTAAGAAGGAAGGGAAGAATGCATATATTGAGGGAAGGAGTCATATTGATGTATAATGTGATGGAAGGACTGCTGGACAGAGGGAGGAAGGGATGGATGGATGGATGGATGGATGGATGGATGGATGGATGGATGGATGGATGGACGGACACCCAAATGCCATCCTTAGCATCAAAGATGTTCACTGTGCAAGGACTGGTTTGTAAAAATGCATGGGAGGCCACGTACGTAAGATCCACAGTCAGAGCAAGGACACTGTTTGGGGACAAGTTGCACTGGTGCCCTACACACCCAGTCCCCATGGAAGTGGCATCACATCTTGCACAAGGAGACACAGCCTGAAACAGTGGTGAGGCAGGTCCCAGAAATACAGCCCCAGTGCCAGGCAGAGAAGTGACATCTCAATCCCCCTTATTTCATGATGTGCCTACAGTGTAAGCAGGGAAGGCATCCGGCCCCCGGGGCACAGTGAATCCAGACACAAATGTTTTAAAAACACAGTGATGAACATTCACTGTAGATTTCAACACGTCTGCTAGCAGTGCACCTCTGCCTGGGGTCTTGAGAGAGAGTCTAAGTCCCCAGTTCATAGGAGTCCACTGAGTCATCCATACTCTCTTTATCTACCCCTCTTAGTATCTGAAAACTCCATGTCCTGAAAGAGAACAAGGCATAAACCAAAGTCCAGATTTACTGGCGCCCATATGTGGAGACTGAGCAGTCTGAGAACTCTCGCTGTCCCATCATGGGCTTCTCCCTGCAGGAACAGTTTACTTCTTTCCTTTCTTTCCACTCCCTGCCTCCAGGATGCTTCCTTGTCTTTCACAGCCTAGAAATGCCAAACAGAGGGACACAGAGATTCTGGGAGGCTGAAGCCAGCAGCTTAGCTGCTCGTTATGTTCCCAGGAAATGACTGTTCCTAACTCAAACCAGAAGCAGCATTTGGGATAACCTCACCAAGCACTGAGCTCTCTGTCTGCTTTAGTTTTGCACAGATAACAGGACTGGTGTTTAAGCAAGAGTTCATGTCTCTCATCCATCTGCCTCCTGAGCTGTGTGGTCCACAGCAGAGAGGGAAACATTTCAGGGGCTTCCTTCATGAAGTGATAGGAAGTGTTCTCACCTGCTCACCTCCCCGCAGCTGCATCCTGCTCCCCAAGGGAGCTCCCCAAGATGCTGACAAGGAAGGTACCAGTCTCTGGGAGGATGCCAGGCTGCAAGGCACCATTTGTCTAGGATATGGTGCATTCTCCCCTATTCCAAAGCATTTCCTTCAGCTCCCCATGTATTCTGGGCACCAGCAGAGCCAGAAGCCCATCCTCCTTCAGTCTCAAAGCATAGAAGGATGCTCAGACCTTACTTTCCCACTAGATGGCAAACACTGTCTTTAAAATAGCATTCAAGAAGTGAACATGACTTCCTCCGGCAGGGGAAGCTGAGAAAATCCATCCTCAGAGCAAAAGCTTGGGATTGGGTCTGGGACTGCCTGCTGCGGGGATGGGGTGGTGGGACCCCAGCACAGGCATGCCAGAGACATTCTGCTTCTCTTCCATTCCTTGGACTGTCCTTCATTCCTACTCTTGTGGTTTTGTCCCAGTCTTAGAGACCAATCTCTGGCTCAATGCATGAGACGCATCTGATCAACCCTGCAAAACACCCTGAACCATGGGCAGCCATAGAGCTAAACCTAGAAGCTTTGCTGGGAATTAATCATGCTGTGGTTTGCAAGCCAAAGTTGTGCTCAAAACTGCTTGCAGGAGAGAAAGCACCCAGCTCCATGTGCAAGCCATTATGCTAGACACAAATAAAGAAGGAAGGGATGAAGGCTCTGCAGGTGGATGTGTGTGCTTATGTAAGATCTTCTGCCAGCTCAGATGTGTTTCTAGGCTTGTGTGTGTTTGCTTGAATTCAGCCCTGGAGCATCCTATGGTCACCACACTCACCTCATGCAGAAGATTTCTTCTGTGAGTTTTCTGCTGGCCCTGGCACTGCTGCAGTATTTCTGCGCAGTTAAACATGACATGTCATAGCTAAATAAGGAGCTAACTGTGGACAGCAAACATTTAATGCAGGCAAATCATGCCAGTGCAACAACACTAGGAGAGGAATGTGTCATGTCAGCTCCATGCAAGAGGACAGGGTCTGGGGAAGGATGTTAATGAACTAGCAGCAGCTGCTGCATCTCCTCCACGAAGTGCTCAAAGCCCTGCTCCTGGCAGCGCCAGCTTCATTTGCTGCTTCCAGTGTTTCCTGCACAGGGATGTCAGTTGACATTGCTTATTCCTAGGAGAGGAGGGCCATCTGGGCTTCCTGGACACTTTCTTTGGGAAAAGTTAATGCCTTTTCTTCCTTGAGGATGGGAAATCCCTCCTTGGAAAATGTAGAAAATGAAAGGATGAGAGTGATTGGGGAATAGAAACCAACGGAGCTGGTGAGCGGCGTGTGGCCAAGGGCAGCCTGGCCAAACCCATTGCCCCACCACAGCCACTACCAGACCACGAGCAGTGCAAGCAGAAGCCCTGCTGGCTCACTTCACAGCTGGGCTCCTGGACAATGCTTGTGACAAAGGGATGGTGCTGGGCTCTGGTGTGTCCCAGTGCCCAGATGCTTCCCAGTTCCTCTGTCCCCGGAATCAGCAGAGCAGCAGTTCAGCATGGATTTGGCTGTGTCACACTGCACAGTGTGATATAAAGATCCAGCAGGGTTTGATACAGGGAAAAATATTTGGTTGCCCAACCTGGGTGCCTGCATCAGAGAACCTCCAGCGCCCCCCAGTCTAACTGATACCCCATTACCCCTGGCTATTGGCTCCACCTTTGACCTGAGCACACCAAGAAATGGGCAATTCCCCTTGCCTGCAGATGACATGGCCTTGCCATGATGTGTGTCTGGCCTCAGCTTTCCAGCTCAGGTTCTAGCAGTGGTTCTGGCCCTTTTCTGCAGGTTTTGGGATTTTTCATCCTGGGTGCTTTTCACCAAGCAAATGCTTCCTGCCTCTGTGTGGCACCTAATGGGTGACCGGCTGCCATGGACAGCATGCACCAGCATTGCTTTTTCACTCGTCTTGGGCTCATGGAGGCTGGAACCTGTTCAGGCTGTGGTCTCAAGTGGTCCCAAGTCAACCAGCAGGACAGCTGCTCTCCTGAAGCTACAAGGGCATTCAGATCCTTCTGCTGCTGCTGATAGCAGAGAGCATAGAATTAGAGAATGGTTGAGGTTGGAAGGGACCTCTGGAGATCTTTTGGCTCAACATTCTCCAGCACAAAGCAGAAACACCAGAGGAGCCGCACCACACTACTCCAGCTAAGGAGCTGTGGGATTTCAATGGTTTGCTTGTTCCTCTTGCATAAGCACTTT